AAAAAAAAAAAAAAAAGGAAAGCTATATGGATAGTGTAGTTTCTGTGTTTTTGATAATCTCCTATTTTCAGATATTGGGGGGGAAACCCTTATTTTCCTTAACATGATGATACTAAAAACTTCATTATGGCTGCTAGACTACTGGGAGAAAGACATCATCTGTGGGATTTGAACAATGTGAAGAGAGAAAAATAAGATGCTATAGTTAAATAGTCTATACTATACTAAACAAGCTTATATTTCTGACTATTTGGTGTTTTCTTCTGAGATTAAACAAACAAAAAACCTCAGAGCAAACAGAAATGAATTAAAGCAGGGGATCTTACCCTTTTGTGGGTCATAGATTCCCCACAGGAATCTGATGAAAGCTATGGGTATCTTCCCCAGAAAATTGTTCAAATTACAGAGTATCAGAGGAATACAGATTCTCTTAGTATTTAAGAACCCAAGGTTAAGAGCCCCTGAATTAAGCCAAATGTGGTTAGCCTGCCCTTAGCAGCAGCTTAAAATTCAAAGATTATCTACTGCTAGGAAAAGGAGGGAAGGCCAAAAAAAAAAAAAAAAAATGCAGCAGTTAAATGGAGTCAGAGGCTGTACAAAGCAAGGCCACGAAGCAAGCTAGTGCTCCCAATGTGTCCTTACCTGTCAAGGGCTGGCTGAGTTCCGCCTGCACTTTACCCTTCGCTGATCCTTCCAGAGGTAAACCTCTGTCCCCTTTGTAGAGTTTCGGTTTAAATGGAGAATCTTTCTCTTTACCTTTTGATCCTTTCGGCCGGCCTGCTTGCTTCTTCTTGGATTTGCCATCCCCCTTCACACCCAGTAGTGGATGGACTTCTGCAAAAAGATAGAGAGGTTTGGAAAGGAATCCGCACAACGCCAGTCCCATCACCCCCAACAGAACTTTGTGAGCAAAGAAGGTTGCTTTGTGTCTCAGATCCACGAATATAAGGACAAAAGTTTGCCTTGTTTATTATTTATAAAACTACACAGGAGTGGCCATTAAGTGAGAAATAGTCATTTGGCCAAAATCACACACACAGCCTATATGACTCATAGCAACTAGAAATTGAATAGCAGCTGAAAGATGCATTGATACCATTCTAAACCAAGCCAAAACAGGGAAAACACACACACACACACACAGAGGCAAGTGGGGCTGTGGAACAAGACCAGAACAAGAATCTTGACCCCACCCCACTGTGAGACCTTGGACAAATTATATAACCTCTCAAATAAACCTTAGCCTAAATTTTCTCCTTTAAAAAGCAGGGATAGTAAAACAACTTGCAAGGTTGATATAAAAGCTGGTTGTATATTAGTAACAGTATACAAACCACACAACCATGCCTGAAACAGAACACACAATCAACAGCATCAGGGAAATGCACAGTTGCATACTTAATTGATGTGTAGTTAGCTAAAAGAAAAAAGAATGGATGCTTAGGAGTAAACATAAACACAC